CCACATCCCTCCTGAAGTGCGGCACCCAGAACTGGACGCAGTACTCCAACTGTGGCCTGACCAGTGTCACACAGAGGGAGAGGATCACCTCCTTGGACCTGCTTGTGATGCATCTGTGGATGCATGATAAGGTAGTTAGCTTTCCTGACTGCGTCCTTACATTGGCAGCCCATGTTCAAGTTGGAGTCAATAGTGACTCCAAGATCCTTTTCTGCCTCTGCACTGACAAAAAGGGAGTTCCCCAGCCTGTAGGTATGCTGCTGGTTCTTCCTCCCCAGGTGCAGTACCTTGCGCTTGTCAGTGTTGAAACCCATCCTGTTCTCATGCACCCACCCCTGTAAGCTGTCTAGATCTAGTTGCAGCCTGTCCCTCTCTAGCGTGCCCACTTGTCCCCACATCTTAGTGTCATCTGTGAATTTGAACAAGGTGCTTTTCACCCCCTTGTCCAAGTCGCTGGTGAAGATGGTGAACAGTGCCGGCCCGAGGACCGAGCCCTGCAGAACCCCACTGCCCACATCCCTCCAGGTCAAAAATGACCCATCCACCACCACTCTCTGGGTGTGGCCCTCCAGCCAATTTGTGACCCATCTGACCGTGTAGGCATCGACACCACAGTTGCTTAATTTTTTTAATGAGAATGGGGTGAGAGACAGTGTCGAAGGCCTTCCTAAAATCCAGAAAGACTATGTCCACTGCGACACCTGCATCCAAGGCTTTTGTGACCTGGTCGTAGAAGGCCACCAGGTTGGTTAACAGGACTTGCCTCTAATGAACCCATGTTGGTTGCCCCTAAGCATAATCTCCTCTGATGGTCCCTTGCAGATGTGCTCCTGGATAATTTTCTAAAAGAACTTCCCCAGGACCAAGGTAAGACTAACAGACCTATAGTTTCCTGGGTCCTCCTTCCTCCCTTTTTTGAAAATGGGGACCACAATGGCCCTTTTCAAGTCCTCCGGCACCACACCAGAGCACAACGAGTGCTTGTAAAGCTGTGCCAGGGGTCCTGCGGTGACCTCTGCTAATTCCCTCAGCACTCTGGGGTGGAGATCGTCAGGACCAGCTGATTTAAATACATCCAGTCCCTCCAGAAGTTCCCTGACTAGGTCCTCACTGACCCTGGGCCTGACTGCGCCTCCCCAAGGTCTGTCGGGGATCCCTGTGGGGGGATGACCCGGTCCCTGCTCAGAAAAATGGAAGCAAAGAAATTGTTAAAAAGGTTAACTTTGTTGTCTGGTGCGACCACCAGATTTTCTAGTGTGTCCTGCAGAGGCCCCATGTTACCCGGTACCTATTTTTACCTGCTATGTATTTAAATAAATCCTTCTTGTTATCTTTGATCCGGGTCGCTAGTCCCAGTTCCGTCTCTGCCTTAGCCTTCCTAACAGCCCTCCTACAATCTCGAGCAATGAAGGCATAATCGTCCTTGGTGATGGCCCCTCCCTTCCATTGGGTGTACACCTCCTTTTTAGCTTTGAGACATTCCTGGATGCTTTTGGTGAGCCATGGGGGCTTTTGAGCACTCTTGCCCCTTTGATCGGCATTGGGATTGTCACCCTTTGGGCTTGGAAGATCGTCTCCTTAAAGAACAACCACTCTTCCTGGACTCCCAACTCCCCTCCACTCCGGGACCTCAGTGCCTCCCCAACTAGTCTCCGTACCTAATTGAAATCCGCCCTCCTGAAGTCCAGAGCTGCTGCCTTGCTGCAGCCCTTTGACACCCTGTGCTGGATGGTGAATTCCAGTAGGCAATGATCGCTATTGCCCAGGTGGTCGAGAACCCATAGCCCCCTCACCAGGTCGTCGCCCGTGGCCAGGACCAGGTCCAACAAGGCATTTCCCCTGGTGGGACTCTGCACCTCCTGGGTTAGATGGAGGTCCTGTAACTCGGCTAGGAACCTACGTGGGTGGTCAGAGCTGGCTGACTGCTCTTCCCAGCAGATGTCTGGATAGTTTAGGTCACCCATGATGACCACGTCTCTTAACTGCCTCTGCGAGTTGACCTGAGAATTCCCGGTCCAGCTCTTCCCTCTGGTTGGGTGGCCTGTAGTAGACCCCCCCACCATTAAGTCCCTTTACCCCCCGATCCCCTTGTATTCTGACCCAGAGCACTTCAGTCTGCCCCTACTCTGACCCAGTGCTGTTTCTTCAGTACGCTGATGATTATGCTGGCGCTGTACATACAGAGGAGGACCTACAAATGGCTCTTAACTGCTTCTCTCAAGCATAGCAGTGGCTAGGAATGACCCTTAACATTGAAAATACCAAGGTGCTTCACCAGCCTGCTCCAAGCCAGTCAACTCCCCCCACAAAGATCCTCATTGACAGACAGGAGCTGGAGAATGTTGAACACTTTGCATCCTTCTGCAGCTATCTCTCAAACAAGGCCAACATCCACAAGGAGATCCCATATAGGATCCGATGCTTCAGCTCTGCCTTCGGAAGATTGAATCATCATGTGTTCAATGATCATGACATCAGGACTTGAACAAAACTCCTACTATATGGTAATCCCAACTCTTCTCTATGGTATGAAGCTTGGGTTACCTACAGAGACCCCCTGAAAACCTGGAACACCATCACCAGCGCTACCTCCAGAAGATCCTTGGCATATAGTGGGAGGACTGTCACATGCATACATGAAGACACTGGTATTTTACCACCATCAGTATGGAATAACTAATTATTCAACTTCAGCTGTGGTGGACAGGTCACTGTGGCCATGTGTAGATGAAACAAGAGGTGTATGTGCACAACACTTTAAAGCAGGCTAAATGTTTTTGCACCACTTTAATGGTGTCAAAGTTTGCATGCCTTGGCGGCATGTTGCGCAATAATTCCAGCCACTGTAGGAAATTCGGCGGTGTAATGTGTCTTAAATGACTTGGGGTGCAGCAAACTAAAACTCCTTCACGGAGTTTTAGTTTGCTGCCCCTACAGCTGCAGAGTGAAGCACTGGGCTCTGTGCAGCTCCATGGCTCTGCAGGCAGCCTGACAGCAGCCCAGGAAACCAGCTATGCCCAAGAAAAGTGGTGAGCCTGATCTTGCCCCCCAGAACCTGCCTGCCTGCCTGAGCTGCACGGGGACCCAGTGCTTCCCTCTGTGGCTGTGGTGCCCCCTGGAAATGCCTGACCCGGGTGCCTGTGGGTGGGTCCCATCTGGGGTTGGGGTGGGGGGGCACCATGGAGGGAAGCACCAGCCCCGCCTGGCCCCCACAGCCCAGGGATTGATCTGCTTGCTAGCAGCTCACCCTCCCCTCCCCGCCAGACAGGCAGGTAAGTCAGCAGAGTGTATGCACAACACGGGTGTTTAATCAGCCCTAAATTGAAGCGGTGTTTTTTAAAACCCACTGCTTCAATTTAGGGCCCCCGTTTCATCTACACATGCACTGTTTGTGCATGCCTGATGTATGCATACCAAAACAACTGCTATACTCCCAACTCAGCCAAGGACAAAGGACATGTTGGGGGCTAGAGGAAATGCTTCAAGGACACCCTCAAGGTGAACATTAACAAGTGTGGTACTGACGCCAGAAACTGGGAAAAACTAGCCTTGGACAGGGCTACATGGCGATACCTTGTGAGAGAAGGTACATCTCACTTTGAAGAAAACCATCTTACCCTGGAGGCAGAAAAATTATAGAAATTGAAGGAAAGGAAACAAGACTGAGAAATTTGTGGTTTGACCTTCCCTTTAAGCACCCCTATAGCGTTTGCCAGAGAGTCTGCAGCTCTAGGATTGGCCTTCCTAGGCATCAGTGGATTTATTTACAGCCCATTACTTAATATATGGAAATGATCATCCTCAACTGTGAAGGATTGCTGATGACAATGACGATTGTGAAGTAGGTGGATAATCTAGACCTATCAGTAGGGAACTGATTAGATGATTTAAATTCTTTTAAATGTCTAAGTTGTGTTCCTTTATATTAGCTAGGTCTTAACATTTGGTTCATTTTTCCTCAAGAATTAAATTTGATTTTAATTAAGCATCACATTTTAATATAGCTTTACCTTAGACAAATGGGGATTAGAATGTTAGAACACGTTAGAAAAATGGGATGATTGTGTTCCTTCCATTCTGTTGAAAGCACAAGAAAGTGGGCCAAATACATACATAGTGTATGTGGCTTTTTCTCCCTTGCAGCTAAATGGATTTGGTCTTACTATGTAAAGAGTGTTTGTAGCTGGTATCTGGAAGAGACTTTCCATTTCAGGATTTTTTGTTTATGTTCACATACAGTTTATTAAAAGAATGACTCCAAAGGCAATACTGAATTCTGTACCACAGTTCAATTACTAATATGATTATTTTACATAAATTTCATTATGCTCAACATAACAACATTGAATTTAACGTACTGTAAATATGACATACTATAAAACATAGATCATCGAAACCTTAAACTGGTACTAAATACCTTCCTCTACTGACCTTTGCCATGCTGAAATTTCTGTTGCAGGTTCACCTGGCTTTGCAGCCAAGTTCACACCAGCCTGGTGACACATTTCCAAGGCCAAATTGTTGCAGATTTTGACAGAGAGTTCCGATGTTTGTATGCAGAATCCATGCCTGTGACTTGCTTCTCTGTCCCTGACACTGGAATCCACACTTCTTCTCACAGTACCTCCTGGAATGTCCAATCTCTCTTAAAACCTACTCAAATGAATGAAACTGAAAATTCCAGCCCCTCAAGTAGCCTCTCAAATGCAAGCATCACAACCATAAAGTTGTCTCCTTTTCTGCAGAGATTCACATACAATGAATGTCAGGAAAAGCAAAATCTGGTTCCTGGTTTCATTAGTGAAAAAAGAAAAGAAGCTATGATACCTGGTAGCCCCAAATTGGATTGGAAACCATCGGACACTACTCACAGCATTTCAGCTGACCTCACATCTATGCTATATAATAAGACTCATCTCATGACAGGTAGGGCACCCTTGCAATTGGACTCTCCCCCCATATTAAGTTTTTATGAATATAGTCATCCACAAAATGAGACACTGGGTACAACTAACATTGACCAGTTGTGCCATGACTCTGCTATAAGACACAGACTGAATTCAAGACTACTCCCTGAGAATTTTGTTACAGACAGAGCAATTGCTAAGGAGAAAGGGCCCAATGCTGTTTCCAATGCTCTGTCAGTAGAAAACAGCATCAACATGCAAAAGGATGAGAAAAGACAGACTCTTGGTCACAGTAAACTTGATCTAATTATCCAGTACAACCAGTTAAAAAGAGAAAAGATGGCTACAGTTCCAGACTCTGTTAGACTTGATGATGTGCCAATACAAAACGACAGCAAAATAATCAAGGATGACAAAAGAATGACTCTTGGACACAGTAAGCTAGATCTGATCACCAAATATAACAAATTAAAATCAAAGAAAATAGGTAGTCGATTTGGGTTTTAAACTTTTTTGTGGCCCTTGCAACGTTGGCTGATCTCATTTACATGGTGACAAACACATACTTTTCTCTGGTTGTTTTTTCTCATGGCACTTTGAAATCAAATTCAAAACACAGTTGCCAAGTCCTTAATTATATTTGATGTAAAAGGAAGCCTGATGCCAGTTCTTAATTTCTTATATTTAGAGAGGTCAGATTTTACTGAAAGTGTATGAAAAGGGCCAGCAACTAGTATTAGAATGTTGGTCACAAGATCACTTTGTGAGTGACAAGATGAAAAAATGTAGACTTCTTTTACTCCTTATAAAAAGGACTACTGTCCCCCAAACTTTATTTTAAAAAAATAATTTGAAGCTACTCTGTATATTTCTTTAACTGATTCTGTTTGGTGACTAACTAAGCTTCTTGTTATATCTAGAGAAGTGTTATATAGGAATTCCTTATCAACTTGCTGAAAACAATGGGGAAAGTCATATTGCACACTACATAAAAAAATAAAACTTACAACTGAAAACATCAGCATCCAGTCATGTGTGAATGCATGTATTAGAGAAATGGGGAACTAAAGGAGTAAATATGTGAGCATGTATGAACATCTTTGTGTTCTGCCATCTTATTTCCTGCTGTTACATGCTCTAGTTTCTAGTGGAAATAATTCAGTGCTACAATGCTGTGCAAGGGAGCTAGGTTCTGAAAGAATTTCCAGCACATAGTGGTTTCAAAACAGCTACAGCTGCATACTCTATAGAAGAGTCACAACTTATGACTTTCCACATGATGATTCTTGTGGTTCATTGTATTAAGATATGGTGTGCCTTGGATTAGGAATTGAAAAAGAACACTTGAGCCATGTCCTATTATTTTTTAAATGAAGCCAATAACTACAGGGTGGAGAGAAGAGGTATGGCTTGCTGCTTCTACCTTCTCTCCAGTCCCAGGAGCAGGTTTGTTGCTGTATCCAGCTGGCTGCCAGCTGCATCACAGCGAAGGGGTAGGACAGTAAGCCTGGGTGCTCAAATATCTGCTGCCTGTCAGGCTGTGGGGCCTCCCGCAGAGAAGGAAAGCATGACTGGCTCTGAGAGAGCTGAGAGCAGCACTTAAAATGGTATGGTTCCTCTCCCCAACTCCCCCACAGGAACAAAAGCACTGAGAACCAACAAGTTACAACTCCTTGATTCTGTGCCCCATTCAGACAAAAGTTAATACTACCAGGCTCCTGCCCTAACTGGCAAGAGTTGCCTTGGACCAATACCTGAATTAGGGATTCAGTAAGCCACCGGTCACCAGTCTGCAGCGAGTTGCCAGGAAAGAAAGAAATATATTCACCGGTCCACAGCGAGTTGCCAGGAAAGAAAGAAATATATTTTCAGAAGCATAACATTGGTATGTCATAGTGCCACAGTTCATATGTTCCAACACTCCAGGTGACGTCACACCGTGCGAGGTGAGGAAATAGAAAGAAACAGCCGGTCACGCATTTGTGTAGCGCTGTTACACGCAGTTGCTACCACCGGCTGAACTGGGCACCGGTCCCTGGCCCACTGGAAAAAAAATTGCCGGTCTGCCACATCAGATAGTTTGAGAAGCACTGGTATAGAGCACTCTCCAGGAGTGGATCTGGGGTCAGGGGTGCAACAAATGTACTGCTCCCCTGCCTTCAGTGTGGCATGCTGTGGGAGCAACCGCTGAACACATTTTCAGTTCCTGAAGTAAGAATTTCCCCCTCCTTTCCCCTCCATTCTCAACCACATCCCCTCTCCTCCCTTTCCCTCCACCTTCTCTTCGCACTGCTGCTGTCTCCATCTGTCCCAGGGTCAGAGGGAACTCCAAAGCTGCTCCTACCTGCTCAGCCCAGCTGGGCTCAGCCCGAGACAGCAGCAGCAAGTGGGCCCCTCAGCTCTCTGCAGTTCCCCCTCAGTGTTCCCTGACAGCCCAGGAACAGGCACTGTGGAAAGGAACTTGCCTACTATTGCTGCTGTCCCTGGCTGACCCCAGTTCTGGGTACAACTGGGTAGGAGGGGCTCTGACAGCCTCCCTGGGGCAGCTGGGGACAGTGGCAGCAGCAACAGTAGATAAGGAAGGGAGGGGAGGAACATGAGCCAAGCACTGAGTGGAATGGGGAGGAGAGATTCTTACCTGCTTGAGGGATATTAAAACATTTCCCATTGCTGATCATGCAGCCTGGTCTACCTGCCTTGGTGTTTGGGAGAGTGGTGGGGTGCCGGGGTGACACATGGGGAAGGCGGAGATGGAGGAGACTGGGAGCCTGGGTGCACCCTCCTGTGCATGACAGGTCATTACTGCCACATCCCTGTTTCTGGATGGGAGACCACCTGAGTCCGCCCATGGCACCCTCTCTCCAACCCTTGACATGCCCCCGCCCCCAGAACTGCAAGGCAGTGTAGAAGCTGACCGCTGAGTAAGCATCACAGAAGGAAACAATTGTATGCCATTAGGGATGGATTATAGCCTCTTAATCTTTTTGGTTCACAGGCACCGCTGTTCTTATGAGTGGTGTGAAGGTTTCCTGGTTACAGAACAATGACAACTTTATAGAAATATACTATTATAGCAGGGACTAGGGAATAAGTCTAGGCTCTAAGCAGTTTCTTGTCCTGCAGCATTTTACTTCTGTTTAGAACTAACCTCAACAGTAGTGCATGCCTGTAAGGTATGGAAGAAATGCAAAACTCTAGAACTCAGAGTTCAGAGATTATACCTTTTATTAGACCAACTAAGAAATCACAAGAAAATTATCTTTTGCTGAAAGCTTTTGGGCACATGCCCTTCCTCAGACTCAGGGAAAATTAAAGATGATAAAAAGTCCCCATAGGCAGAAAATAAACTTCATTTTTGCACAGAGGGAGCTGAAGATGCAAGCCTGTCCCTCTGGGTCCATGAGAGTCTTTGTGAGGAATCCTGCCTTATTTGCACATCAAAGAGCAACTCACAAAAACACTCTCATGGACCCATAAAACTCTGGTTAAATTTGAAGGCACCATGGGCCCAATCCTATTCCACCTGTTAGGCACATACATGGACTTAGGTATCCAAGTTTGATTCTGTTCCTTCCTGCTTGAATCCCTGAAAAAATGTTAATGCACCTATTTTGTAGCACACCATCATCTTAGCCTTAGGACTGTCATAAGAAAAAAACCACCCAAGAAGGAGAAAGAATGACCTGCCTTTTGCATTAAATGTTTTTTGAGGACTCAAACAGGGTGGAATAGGATCACACTTGGGTGCCCAATTTAACTTGGGTGCCTGGTGGATAGAATAGGACTTGGATTTCCATTTTTGTTGCACTTTTTACCTCTCTCCAGCCCACTCCCTCCAGCAACTCCTGACACATGGCATTCAGGATCTCCAGTCTCCTTGCTTGTTTCCTTCTTCCATGGAGAGCTCAAAGGATTGCATCTCTCAGATGGAACAGACACCTGGACTATGCCCACTCCTCCAAGGAGATCTTGAGGGGCTCACTGACTGCTGCCTAGTAGCTTGGTGTCACCATGACTGTCAGAGAGGACAAGGGAAACAGGTGCACAGGCACCAGGGTACAGGGAGACTGATTATAAGAAAATCCATTTTAATGACCATCCAGTGCAATGAAAGTTCCAGTAGTTTTGAAACCCCAGCAGCTGGTTTATACATAGCTCTAAGTGGGTCTGGGTAGGATTAAATCCACTACTGTACTTCGAAAGATTCTACTACTGTGAATGCCTTTTCCTGTCCTAGTAGGCGCCTACCGCCCCTGGTTACAGCAGACAAACCATCTTTACAGGTCCCTGCTGCATCCCCAGGGGCCAGCTGGTCCTGGCAGCTCCTGCTCTGCAATAATGGTCTCAGCCTGGGTGAAAGCTAGAGCAGCTGGATGAAACCGCGGGATTGCCGCGCAGAGGCGCCGGCCGGGCCTGACAAACCGGGAGCTGGCGGACTCCTGGCGCAGCCACAAGCTGGGCGTCCCGGCAGGCAGCCCCCGCTGCAAGGCCGCTCCTCGCGGCTGGACCTGGGCGGCTCGGCCCCGTGCTGAGGGGCTGCAGGCGGGGCTGGGCCGGTGCCCCCGCACCACGGTCTTCCTTCACTCGGACACTGAGGCACAAACAGCACTTGGCTGCAGTGACATAAACGCCTGCGGGCGCGGGGCGGCG